CCTGGTACTCAACCCACGGACGGCAATGTGGGAGTATCCAGCACCTTAACCACCACACCACCTGCTGGTCCCCATTAAAAAAATTTTTTAAAGAATTATTTACTTTGGGGATCAGCAAATGGCACAGTAGTTACATCGCTGGATTCACACATAGCCAACCACAGTTTGAGTCCCGGACTTGGTGGCTTGAACATCACGCTGGGCACACGTGTGCCTGCCCATGGTCCTGGGAGGGCAATGGAGAAGGGGTTATAGCGTAGCCATTCCCCCGAGGGGTAACTTCCCATGTTCCCTCTCATTGTATCGGTCTCTTTCTCTCTGGCGAGTGCACATGGCCTAAGACAAAAATATCTTAAAACAACAACAAAAAAACCCCAAAAAACAAAGATTTATTTATTTATTTTATTTATCATCATCATGTTTAATTTTGCTACAGGGCATGTGTGCTCACCAGAGACATCCAGAGAGAGAGAGCGAGTGAGAGTGAGAGAAAGTGAGAAAGCGGGAACCAGCAGTTAGCATAATGGCTATGTCGCTGGATTCCCACATAGTCAATCGCGGTTCGCGTCCCGGACCCGGTGGCTTAGAACTCACGCCAGGCGCGTGTGCGTGCGAGCCCGAAATCCTGAGAGGAGAATGGAGGAGAAAGGATTGCGGTGTGACCATCCCCCCTGGGGGGGTGATTTCTCGCTTTCTGTCTCTATGTCTCTCTCTGTCTGTATGGCGCGCGCATGCGTCCTATGGCAAAAACCTCTCAAAAAAAAAAAAAAAGTGAGAAAGCAAGCCATCAAGTCCAAGACTCCAACCACAGTTGGCCATGTGGGAGTCCAGTGCCTCATCCACCATGCTATCTGCTGGCCCCTAAAAATTCTTTTTCAATTACACTATTCTCTGGCTTTGCGGCACCTCTCAAAACATGGAAAATTAATTTACTGGAAGTACTGCATTAATTTATATAAAAGATGTGCATACTGAAATTCCAAGTATGTCTTTAACAGTTACATCAATCTGCTTTTGGAAAAATGATTACAATGGTTACCTATGGGAAGTAGAAATGGAGACAGAGAAACGGTCAATGGGATGTATTTTCTTTCCAACCTTCTGTATTACTCAAACATTTCCAGTGAGAAGTAAAATTAGAACGGTCAAAAGTTTGGCTATAGGGGCTAGCGGGGTGGCACGGTGGTTAGGTCATCTGGGTCCCACAGGGCTGGATGTTCAGCTGAAGTCCTGGACCCAGCAGCCTGAAAACGCACAAGGCGAGAGAACAGAGAAGAGACTGCTGCATGGTCACTCCCTGAAGGGTGCTCTCTCTCCCCTCCCCTCTCTGTATGTGCACCTGCCCTATACCCAAAGTAATTAGGTAGGTAGGTAGATAGGTATTTTTTACTTTCCCATATTTTATGACTCTCAACAATAAATACATGAATTCATAATCAGAAAATTAACTAAAAATGTATTTTTATCAAAAATAAATCAAATCTTTGGGACCAGCAGTTAGTGTAATGACTATGTCGCTGGACTCCCATGTAGTGAACTGTGGTTCGAGTCCTGGACCTGGTGGCTTAAACTCACACTGGGCGCGTGCGTGTGCGTGCCCAAGATCCTGAGAGGAGAGTGGAGGAGAAGGGATTGTGGCGTGGCCATCCCCCCGGGGGTGATTTCTCGCTTTCTGTCTCTCTGTCTTTCTGGTGAGAGCATGCGCCCTATAGCAAAAAAAACTCTCAAAAAAAAAAAAAAAAAATCCTTAATGTCCAAGTACATAGAAAGTAACTTGAAAATTTCTGCTACCGCAGAATGCCTGGCTGAGAAAAACCGGTCCCTAATCCACTAACAACTCTACAGCCAAACATTTCACCGAGTACTTCAGGGTAGCTCAAGACAGGAGCTCAAATAAATGAGAAGGATCAAAGAGCAATCAACAATTTTCAGTTCTATTTATTAAACGTTCCAGCTGTTTATTAAACCATCTTGGAATATAAAGGCTGACAGAGGAAGCTGTTAAAGAGCTACCGCTCCTGAGACAGTAAACGGGACAGAGCGGAAGACCTGGGGCGAGGGCACAGAACTGCAAGCCCTGCAGGTGTCGTTCGCATGTATGTGAAAAACACCCAGGAGTGTGCTGTGCACGGGAGCTCCAAGTTCTAAAACGGGAAAGACAAGTGTAAGTGTCCGTTTTGGGGCCTGTGGGCAACTATTATTTTAGCTTCATGAAGACTCAGTTTCTACATTCAAAAAACCTATCTGCTGGTTCCTGTTAAAGTTAAGCGAGGTAACACTGGTCTACTTAATAAATGTCCCTGCTCTGCCCCCTCCCATTCATCCAACTATACCCTGCCAGGGTTCCGGCTCGGCCTCTGCTCCAGGTTATGTGACAGCCTCTCCTCTATACCCATGTTGCTGTTGTTATCCTTGTCAGGTAAGAAGTCATTGTGCTGCGATAAAGAATCACTTTCTGAATGATTGGCCGATGGCGTTTCCGATCTCTGATTGGCTGGAGATGATGATCTGGATGGCGATTCCAAAAATTTCTTGATAGCAGGATGATTAAAAACCATCGGATCACATGTCTTTGATCCCTACAACAAAAAAAGGAAAGCAAACATTTTTTAATCAAGTGCACCAAAAGTAGGCTAAATTTTTTTTAGTTTTGCGTGTGCGTGCCCAAGATCCTGAGAGGAGAGTGGAGGAGAAGGGATTGTGGCGTGGCCATCCCCCCGGGGGTGATTTCTCGCTTTCTGTCTCTCTGTCTTTCTGGTGAGAGCATGCGCCCTATAGCAAAAAAAACTCTCAAAAAAAAAAAAAAAAAATCCTTAATGTCCAAGTACATAGAAAGTAACTTGAAAATTTCTGCTACCGCAGAATGCCTGGCTGAGAAAAACCGGTCCCTAATCCACTAACAACTCTACAGCCAAACATTTCACCGAGTACTTCAGGGTAGCTCAAGACAGGAGCTCAAATAAATGAGAAGGATCAAAGAGCAATCAACAATTTTCAGTTCTATTTATTAAACGTTCCAGCTGTTTATTAAACCATCTTGGAATATAAAGGCTGACAGAGGAAGCTGTTAAAGAGCTACCGCTCCTGAGACAGTAAACGGGACAGAGCGGAAGACCTGGGGCGAGGGCACAGAACTGCAAGCCCTGCAGGTGTCGTTCGCATGTATGTGAAAAACACCCAGGAGTGTGCTGTGCACGGGAGCTCCAAGTTCTAAAACGGGAAAGACAAGTGTAAGTGTCCGTTTTGGGGCCTGTGGGCAACTATTATTTTAGCTTCATGAAGACTCAGTTTCTACATTCAAAAAACCTATCTGCTGGTTCCTGTTAAAGTTAAGCGAGGTAACACTGGTCTACTTAATAAATGTCCCTGCTCTGCCCCCTCCCATTCATCCAACTATACCCTGCCAGGGTTCCGGCTCGGCCTCTGCTCCAGGTTATGTGACAGCCTCTCCTCTATACCCATGTTGCTGTTGTTATCCTTGTCAGGTAAGAAGTCATTGTGCTGCGATAAAGAATCACTTTCTGAATGATTGGCCGATGGCGTTTCCGATCTCTGATTGGCTGGAGATGATGATCTGGATGGCGATTCCAAAAATTTCTTGATAGCAGGATGATTAAAAACCATCGGATCACATGTCTTTGATCCCTACAACAAAAAAAGGAAAGCAAACATTTTTTAATCAAGTGCACCAAAAGTAGGCTAAATTTTTTTTAGTTTATTTATTTTTTTTTAGAGAGGGTTTTGCTATAGGGCGCGTGTGCTCGCCAGACAGACACAGACAGACAGAGAGACAGAAAGTGAGAAATCACCCTCTGGGTGGGATGGCTACACCGCAATCCCTTCTCCTCTATTCTCCTCTCGGGATCTCGGACATGCATGCACACATGCCCGGTGTGAGTTTAAGCCACCGGGTCCGGGACTTGAATCATGGTCAGCTACATGGGAGTCCGGCGACACAGCCATTACACTAACTGCTGGTCCCTTTTTAGTTTATTTTAAAGAATTACTTAATTTTATTTATTTGATTTGATTTGATTGATTCACTTATTTTTTGATTTGACTAGACAAAGGGGAAAAAAGAGAAAGAAAGTGAGAAAGCAAGCCAGCAGGTCCAGGACTCGAACCGTGATAGGCCATGTGGGAGTGTAGAGTACCTTAACCACCACACCACCTGCTGGTCCCTTTTTTTTTTTTTAGCTTTGATACAGGATGTATTCACCAGAGAGAGAGACAGAGAGAAAGTGCGAAAATCACCCCCCGGGAGATGGCCACACTGCAAGCGCTACTCCTCCAGTCTCCTCTCAGGATCTTGGGTATGTACATACATGCGCTCAGTGGGATTTTCAATCTACCTGGTCTGGAACTTGAACTGTGTAGTTGGCCATGTGAAATCCAGTGGCTTACCTGCACACCACATGCCAGCCCAAGCAGGCTAAATCTGATCTCCCCAAAATTCTATTATAGGATCACGTTTAAAATCCATCAAAATTGGGAGGCCAGCAGGTGGCGTGGTGGATAGGTGTGCTGGACTCCCACATGGTCGACTATGGTATGAGTCCTGGACCTAGTGGCTTGCTTGCTCTCTCTTTCTCTCTCTCACTCCCCCTCCCCTCTGTCCCTCTCAAGTCAAATTAAAATAAATAAATAAAGTTAAATAACTAATTATTTTAAATAAATGGGGGGCCAGCAGGTGGCATGGTGGTTAAGGATGCTGGACACCCACATGGCCAACCACAGTTTGAGCCCCAGGCCTGGCAGCTTACTCTCTCACTCTCTCGCTCTGTCTCTGGCTCTCTCACTGTTGCCCTCTATCTCTGTCTCTAACTCTCTCACTGTTGCTCTCTCTCTGTCTCTAGTTCTCTCACTGTTGTTCTCTGTCTCTAGCTCTCTCACTGTTGCTCTCTCTGTCTCTAGCTCTCTCACTGTTGCTCTCTGTCTCTAGTTCTCTCACTGTTGCTCTCTCTCTCTGTCTCTAGCTCTCTTACTGTTGCTCTCTCACTCTGTCTCTAGCTCTCTCACTGTTGCTCTCTTGCTCTGTCTCTCTCTGGTCAAAATGAAATAAAGTTTAAAATAATTCTTAAAAAAAATCTTTCTTAATAAATAAGTGAATGTAATAGAACCCTTCAAAATCGCCCCACACCCATAAAAAGAATGCTAAGTTCCTTAACATGCTATGAACAGACAAAGCAGAAACTAGAGAGATTAATTCTTATGTAAAGCTTCTACTGCTAAAAGCTAAAGCTAGAGTCTGCTGAAAGTAAATGAGAAATAAGATAAACATAGTAACATACAAAAAAGAAGACCTGACTTAAATCTTAAATTGCTTTGCAATGCACATCAAATCCTCTAAATAAATTATCCCTGTAAGAAATATAAAAATGAAAAAATGTATATATACCATAGCCCCTTCACGAGAATGAAATGTAATACCGACTGCTGTACAATGCGAACACTGACCCAGCCACAGGGGCACACGTGGTAGGGCATCACTGGGTGGTGGCTGAGGCCACGCAGGAGGCCTGGGTCCAGCCCGACCCTGCCCAGAACAGATCAGGTACGGTGGTATGTGTCTGTGGTCCCAGTTCACCTGGCAGCTAAGGCAGGAAATTCGCAAAGTGGCAAGACCCTGCCAAAAAAAAATCACCCCTCTCTTTTTACTCCCATACTCTCTCATAAAAACGACAAATAATGATGTGTCAAGTGTAACTCCAGTCCAGTAGAGAAGCCTAGGGTATTTTTCCTATCTTAGTTACCTGCATACTAAATACAGTATGTCCTAATAACTTTTTTTTTATGTCCTAATAAACGTGTGTTATTTACTGTGGGCCAGCCCGGGGCCATGGTAGTTGTGGTGACTGGATCCTACATGGCCAACTGCGAGTTTGAAACTCGGACCCAGCAGCTTGGGAAATACACCAGACACAGGGGCTCATGTATGTGCGTAACCAAAATTCCAGAGAAAAAGAACGAAGGGACTGCAGTGCGGCTGTTCCCCCAGGGCGGGACTTCTCACTTGCCTTCCCTCCCTCCCTTTTTTTTCTCTGGCAAATGTGTGTGACCTATAGCAAAAAGCAGTAATAAGCGTAGTAATTGTCATAGTGAGAAAAAAGGAGTAAGAGACAAGTACTTCACAGTCGACCACACAGCTCACTTCACAGTTGTTGCAGAGCTTCGTGTTTTGTTGGGGACAGCAGGTGGTGTGCTGGTGAAGATGCTAGACTCCCACATGGCTGACCACGGTTTGAGTCCCGGACCTGGTGGCTTGCTTTCTCACATTCTTTCCCTCTCTCACTTTTTCTCTCTCTCTGGTGAATACAAGTACCCTATAGCAGGTTAAAAAATAATAATAAATAAATACTTCTTAAAAACAAATACGTGGTTGGGACCAGCAGTTGGCATAATGGCTGTCACTGGACTCCCATGTGGTCAACCACAGTTTGAGTCCCGCACCCGGTGGCTTAAACTCCTGTGGGGCCATGTGCGAACGTGCCCAAGATTCCGAGAGAAAAATGGAAGAGGAATTGCAGCGTGGCCATACTCCCTGGGGGGTGAATTTTTGATTTCTGTCTGTCTCTGTCTTCCTGGGGATCACATGTGCCCTATAGCAAAAACCTCTCCAAAAAAACAAACAAACAAGAAAAACAAATGTGTTGTTATTGCAAACTAAAAATAAATGGCCAATCATAACAGACAAAAGCACACCTAAATTCCCTTGAATACATCCTTTTTTTAAAAGAACTATTTTATTTCATTTATTTTCATCATTATTTGCTTTAATTTGACCAGGGAGAGACAAGAGAGAGAAAGGGGAAGTAGGAAAGAGAGCTCCAGGTCTGGGACTCAAACCGTGCTTGGCCAGGTGGGAGTTCAGCGCCTCAACCACCACGCCACCTGCCAGCCCCACACCCTTGAATAAGTCTTAACCAGAACACAACAAGACAGGGGCCAGACAGTGGTGTCATAATAAAACGTGACACTCCCTAGAGCTGGGACCCGCTGGCGTCCCTTCCCCTCCCGTTATTTGCTCATGGAAGAAATATACTTTAAACAAAGCAGAATGAAAATGCAGTCATGAGTCCACACCATACCAACTTATAAAAAACAAAACCATAAAATCAAAGCATTTCTAGACCTATCAAACAAATAGCACAAATCAGAACTGCTAATGATTTAAAAAAGGGGAACAGAAAATGGCATAATGGTTACATCACTGAACTCCCATATGGCCGACCGTGGTTCGAGTCCCGGACCCAGTGCCTTGAAACTCACACCGGGCACGTGTGCGTGCGTAAATGAGGAGAACGGAGAAGAGACAGCGGGGTGGCCACACCCCCCACCACCACCAGGGAGTGATTTCTCGCTTTCTGGCCTCTCTGTCTCTCCAGCAAGTACACACAAAATCTTGTAGCAAAAATCTCTCTCTACAAAAAAGGACAGCAAGACAGTTTATAAACGACCAGTTCTTCGAAGCTGCCACCCACAGTCCTACGTCATGCAGAAGCCGGCTTGCTGACCCCACAGTGAGCCACAAAACAGGACATCAGGGCAAGTCTTGGGTAGAGTAGTGACCCCTCCAATCCAGTCTCTCTGCAAGCTGTGAACGGGACTCTGTTCAGAAACAGCGTCTTTTCAGGTGTAATCAGGCTGCAATGGCTCTAACCCAAGGCCTAGAACCCTTACTAGAAGGTGGTGGGCACAGGTGGACACAAAGGCCACACGTGGAGAGGGAACATCCAGGTGAAGACGGAGGCAGAAATTACAGACTGACGCGGACCAAGACATAGGGCACCAAAGACTGTTTGCAACCCCAGAGCCAGGAAGAAGCAAGGATCCCGCCCTAGAACCTCTGGAGGGAGCACCACCATGCTGACACCGTGACTCTGAACTTCCAGCATCCCAAACTGTGGGGGGAAAATCCTCATTCATTTTTTAGAGGTTTTTGCAGTAGGGCACGTACACTTGCCAGAGAGACAGACACAGTAAGAGGGAAAGTGAGAAATCACCCCCCAGGGGGGTTGTCCACACTGCCATCCCTTCTCCTCCATTCTCCCTTAGGATCCTGAGCACGCACACGCACGCGCACACACACACACACACACACACACACGCGTGCCTGGTCTGAGTTTCAAGGGTCTGAGTTTCACTGGGTCTAGGACTCAAACCCCTTTCAACAATGTGGGAATCCAGCAATGTAACCGCTACGCCATCTGCTGGTCCCAATCCTTATTGTTTTAAGCCACCAAGCTTGTGGTATTTTGTTACAGCAGCTCTAGAAAATTAATAGAGTTTCAGGTGAATCATGGAAAGTTCTGCTATAAAGAAACACCTGTCTGCCGTCTAGGAATGCTCGTTTCTGTGAGACGGTGTCAGGGGAGCACCAACACCAGGAGCCTTGGACCTTCAAGGGATCTAGAAGCCTAAACCAGTCGGGTACTTTGTCTCCTTCAGCCCTTCACCCATTCCTACTGTCTGAGAGGATTACCTGAAACCAACTCTCGTTTTGAAAGAAACGTAAGAAAAAGAAACTAAGGAAAACAAACAAAGCTATGCTGAGATGAACAAAACATCTAAGAGGAAATACTTCTGTTTCAGCTCGGGCCTGTCCCCTACGCCTGAATCTGAACAGATCATTAGGGTAGAAGGACCAGGCACCCTTTGGGTCATCGGAGAAGTCATGACATATTTTTCTATCAAAAATGTGTCTCGGCTTTTCCAACAACCCAACAGTTCTCATCTGTTCCTAACAAAGTTACAGGAAAACAGAGAGGTAGCCAGGTCTCTTCAAAGTCACTGTCATGGGAAAAAGGGGAGAACAATTCCAGATCACACACTAGAGAAACAACCAAATACGACTTCATCAACTACGACTGGATCCTGATTCGAAAAACCTAAGACTTTGCTTAAGAGAAGCAATGTATTGGGAACAACTGGAGACATCTGAATGTGGACTGGGTACCAGATATTAGAGTGCTCCTCAGAAACACACGCTTAAGGGGCTGGCGAGCAGTGTGCTGGCGAAGGTGTGGACTCCCACAGGGCCACCATGTTCTGAGTCCTGAACCCAGTGACATGGTCACCCTCCCTAGCCGGGGGTGATTTCTCACTCTCTGTCTCTCTGGAGAGCACACGTGCCTTCAAGCAAAAATCTCTCTCAAAAAAAAAAAAGAAGAAGAAAAGAAAATGCATGCTTAAGTACTTAGGGGTAGAGTGTCACAATGCCTGCACTTACCTTCATATAGTTTAGACAACATTAAGACAGATAAAGCAAAAAGCAACATATTAAAATTGCTGAATCTACACAATAAGTGCTTACTCAGTCGTCTGTGTATCTATGAGATAGTTCATAAAAGCGGGAGAGCAATCAGAGCCTACTGAGTTCTGAAACTAAAAAGTGCTGCTCATTACAGCAGAAGGCCAGAGAAAACACAGCCGACCTGCAACTTACTCCAGCACAGCCCAGAACCGAATGGGGAGCGATGAGGGAAGGGGCAATGAGGTCGCACTCACCTCTGCATCTTGGAAGCCTAGCTAATGCTAAAATTAGCCAGGGAAGAGTTACGCGGGAAAGAAAGGTCCCTGAGGCTACTGACAAGGCGGAGGCCGGACCCCAGGACTGGGGCTGGGAAGCTGGTACGTGTCCCCAGGAAGGCCGGCTGTGTGTCACAAATTCTACAGATCAATAGAGAATGTTCCAGAGACAGGGATCCCACTGGCCTGACTTCCCCTCAGACACACCTGCGCGGGCCGGGAGGCGCCCGGACACGAGGGACACCTACCTCAGAAACTTTTAAAAGCCCCGCAGAGGCATAGTAGTTTGCGACGATGCAGGCACGAAGTTTATCCATCATCCTTCTTGCTTCGATTAGTCGCTAAAAACAAATGTTAATTCATTATTTTAAGAAACAGGAATTACAAAGGAGATAAAAAGAAATGCAGATAACCCAAAAAACAGGAGCTCAACTTTTTCTAAAAATCAAAGAAAAGGGAATAAAAACGACATGTTCTACCTATCAGACTGGCAGAGATTTACAAAGATCAGCAACGGCAGCACCGCAGGGTGTACCGATGTTAGTGCGCATGCGTGCGTGCAACTCACCGAGACGCAGTCAGGAAGACACTGAGCACATACAGCAAAGAGGGATTACCTTTTGGTGGAATTTCAGATAACTTTTTAACTTCCCTGTAATTTCATTTGTATAAAAATGGTTTTTTCCTACCCCGAACAAAAAAGTTATTTTAAAAAAACAGCAAAAAATAAAAGTAAACCATGACTTTTTATCAGTAGATGCTTTTTCCAATTCACATTCATGGATTTTCGCCCGCAGCCTTGGTGTTTCCCAGCGTATCACCCTGATACCTGGTCAATGACTTCTATCTCGTGCTCCTTATTCTTCATCTCCAGGGCAAACTGCTCCCTGATGATCGTCTCGATCTTCTGCACCGCGGCATCCCGAGCTGCACCGAGAACAGAGGCACAGGGCGGCCTGCTGGTCAGTGGCTGCCGTGATTCGGGTCAGCAAGCACGAGACACCCAAGAGCAGCAATTCTAAAGTAGACAGAACTAGAGCCACCTTATCCAAGTGAAAAATTAATAGCACTAACATACAGGCAAAGTTGCCTCTTTTTTTTTTTTGAGAGATTTTCACTGTAGGGCGCGTGCGCTTGCCAGACAGAGAGAGACATAGAGACAGAAAGCGAGAAATCACCCCCTAGGGGGGATGGTCACGCCGCAATCCCTTCTCCTCTTGGAATTTTGGGCACACACACACACCAGGCTTGAGTTTCAAGTCGCCAGGTCCAGGACTCAAATCATGGTTGACTACATGGGAGTCCTGCACCTTAACCACTACGCCAACTGCTGGCCCCCATGTGCTTTCTTTCTTTCTTTCTTTCTTTCTTTCTTTTTTTTTTTGGAGAAGTTTTTTGCTTTAGGGTGCGTGCACTCACCAGAATGACAGAGAGAGACAGAAAGTGAGAAATCACCCCCCCCCCCGGGGGGGGGGGGTGGCCCCGCCGCCAACCCTTCTCCCC